TCATGACTGTCGTCACAAGGAAGATGCTGGGGTCATTTGCTCAGGTAATTTTAAACTGCATCAAATGTTGTGATGTTTTACTTGGCTTATATTATGAAAACATAGTCAAAGAACAATTTAAAACTCAGGTGTCAGTGTAATGTGACTTGCCAGGTAGAATTTTATGCTTAGAAACTGAAGTTTGTCTTCATTCAACTAGGTGGTCTAAAATGGTATCTCAATGGATCCTAATTGCTATTATGTGTAAAGCTTTCAGACAATTTTCATTCAATACAAAAATGCATTTATTATCAAACATACAATATTTAAGGACTGGATCTTATTATTCAGGTTTCAATAAGTTATTATATTATCTTTAAGTAAATTTGTTTAAGGTTCTTAACACGTTTAACAGCCACAGGAGATGACAGATTCAACTGCAATCACTAAATGAGGACTATATTAGTCTCAATATTAAAAGGCAATAGGTATCATTACCAATACTTTTAGTCAGACTTGCTATACCCTTTTTTATTTTACTTTATTGTGTTGAACTGAACAGTAACAAATATAAAAGAAATAATAACAATGGAAAATATACTATATCCCCAAAATTCATCAACATCAGTATGTTGTCTTCTTCAACCAGACCAAAGTTATTTCTTCAATTTTCAGGTCCTGCTATCACCACATCACCACCTGGTAGGTATTTGTTTAAATTTCTATTGTTACTTAAAAGCAAATCTTGGGTCCTAATTTAGGAGGAAATGGTATGTAAATAACTAAATTGATTACTATTGCTTGTGGTTAACCAGTAGTGATTGGGTTCTGAATTATTGGAAGCCAAATTAATTAGGCTATAAAGTGGTTTGGTCAAAGAGAATGTGCAACAATTGAATTTGTAAACAAATATTTGTAGGAAGAGCACATGGATTGAGTTTAAAACCAAGAGAATAGTTGTTGTTGTTTTCCCACCATTATTTTTTTTATCTCTACACATCCATGATAAAAAAGAACTTCTATAAAAGTTTCAGAGTCATATAACTATAATTATTTTTGTTTTTGTCAGACCTTTCAACACCCTCTGCTAAGCTGACTACTCAGGGAATAAGAGGTATTTATTATACGCTGGATTGTCATTCTCATAACAGTAAAAACTATTATAACAATAAACCTACAGCACTTCCAGCTGATCATGGGAGGGGCAAAACAGAGCAGCAGAAGTTATTCATCTCTATTTAGTAATAAAGAATTCTATTGATAAGTCCAGTGGTGGGATTCAGCCAGTTTGCACCACTTTGGGAGAACTGGTTGTTAACTTTCTGCAGTTTAGCGAACTGGTTGTTAGAAGAAATTATTAGGGCAGAGAACCGGTTATTAAATTATTCGAATCCCACCACTGGATGAGTCCAATCTACATATGTTTTCATTTCAATAACAAATCTATGAGACTGGTGAACAGAGAAGACAAATGTGGTTGTATTGAGGTCTTTTACAATGGAAAGGTGCCAAGGGATAGAATTGAACTTACAGAGAGAACATATTTTTTCGTACGTTACTACAGAATTATTTTCTTCTGTTAGACCAAGACTAAATCAAACAATAATCTGACTTGAATAAAATTGACTAACATTAATGTATTCTTTGGACAAAATAGAACAACAAAGATGATTCATCTCTGTTTAGTGATGAAGAATTTAAAAATTAGACATCTGATAATTTACATGTTTTCCTTTCAAGAAAAATCTCTGAGACTGGTGAATGGAGAAGAC